CAACTCAACTGTTGGCATTCTAGATGCCACTCATAGTCAGATCTTCCTCACCTAAAACATCCACAAATTGTACGGTGAGAAAAGAAAAACATCTATATGTAAAGAACACAAGGAAAAACACAACATAATCTTATCATAACTCATCAATCAATGAAGGATTTACAAACATATTCATACATTCTAATTCTATCAATAATGCATCATATTCACATCACACCAATCTATCACAAATCTTGCAATTAACACTATGACAATGGTCACGCCACCTCAAGGTCGTGCCACTTTAGACATAAGTGATACATATTAATTGTCTCACTCATCCCACACTATTGGGATACAAACAAGTCCCACATTGATAAAATAAGATAAGAAATAACAACTTATATAGCACAAAGATACTTCAATGATTGAGAGGCCTTTTGGGTAATGACCAAAAGTAAAACCGTGAGGGCTTAGGCCCAAAGAGGACAATATCTCATCATTGTGGAGTATGGTTGTGTAATAACCTTATAAAAATAATACTCATAAAATATCCCCTCAGATAAATACCATAAAATAACCCCATCAGTGGTATCAGAGCCGCAGGTTGGATTCGGTGACAACCAATAACCCTTACAAAAAAAATGATAATGATAATGTGATATATAAAGACAGATTCTACTGTATGAAAGGTTAGGTTCCTTGTTTGAGGGGAGGATTGTTGGGATACAAACAAGTCCCACATCGATAAAATAAGATAAGAAATAACAACTTATATAGCACAAAGATACTTCAATGATTGAGAGGCCTTTTGGGTAATGACCGAAAGTAAAACCGTGAGGGCTTAGGCCCAAAACGGGCAATATCTCATCATTGTAGAGTATGGTTGTGTAATAACCTTATAAAAATAATAGTCATAAAATATCCCCTCAAATAAATACCATAAAATAACCCCATCACACACTATGCCAGGAGCACGCCATCCCTGTAACATCACTTACCTAGGGTCGTCTCATCCCTGGTCATATGTGTTAGGAACCACAATCACAACACAATCACAATCATCACAAATCTTACAATTAACACTATGTCAACGGTCACGTCACCTCAAGGTCGTGCCACTCTAGACATAAGTGATACGTGTTAATTACCTCACTCATCCCACACTATATCAGGGGCACGCCATCCCTGTAGCATCACTTACCTATGGTCATCTCATCCCTGGTCATATGTGTGAGGAACCACAATCATATATCACGTCAACATCTCATTTCATGTCAACATACTCACATCATATTATCAATTCAATATTAAAACAGTAGATATAATGTATACATTTGTACGAAGGCAACACACCACACTGCATATCTAGATCATCAATTTTACCAAATAATGTAATAATAATATTTATAAATTAATATAAAACCTAATAGAATCATCAATTTAGTAAAATCTTAACTCAAATAGTAACACCCCCAATTTTCCAAAACCCCAATTTTCCGAAACGTAACTCACAGACACTTTTCTACGATTTTGTTCTCTCTTCCAGAGTATCATTTTTACAAATTAATCATATATTCATAATCCTAAACACATACAGAATCTCATAATACCAATAATTCTCGAAACAAAAATAATTATAAAATTATTAAAAACTCTACAGGAACTCTTCTCCACCCATTCCCTCATGTGACTCTACATATAAATCTCTCATTTTCCCTCGTATCTCGATAAGCAGTAACTGAAACTAAAGCAGGATCTAGTTGGTCTCCTCCTCTAGGTTCCCCTCGGTCTTCATATAATGTAGAAGGAAAAGAAGTCAGAACTGAAAGAAGTCGAAACTGAAAAGTGCATATTTTGGGAATGTCAGAGCGCTCTATTTATAGGCATCAACAATGGCCAAAACGGCCCGCGTTCTGGACTCTACGTCATGTGTAAAATTTCACATCCAGAACGGCCCATTCTGGGGTTACATTTTAACCCATAATGGCCATGTTTGGAACGGCCCGTTCTTAAACCAGAACGGCCCTTCCCAACTAGGGTTACAAGCCTTTTTAGTAATTTGGAACCTCTCGTTCTCAAGTAAGATTTGTAAGCAATTTTAGTAGTTTGGAATGACCCGTTCTAGTTTGGGAGGCTACTAAATCACCCTTATTTGGCTTTGGACCTTCGTACAATCTGTGAAAATCGAGCTATTACATATTTTATATTAAATTTATACATCCTTAACCTTAAATTATTTAGTCTCTTCTTACAAAACTTTAAATAAAAACTATGAATTTATTTATATATTAACTAGTTTTTCAATCTAATAAATTAAATAGAAAAATATATTATAAAAATGATAATATTAAAAAAAACAAAATTGTAGAAAAAACAAAAAAAAAATACTAGTTGAGAAATCGATTATCCGTTAACCAACTCCTTAATACATAAATAAAAAAATTTGAAAAATTTAGGTAAAAAATTAATTAGTGAGAGGCCAAATTCTCAACATGAATAATACTCTTTATTTTTGCAATGCAATTGATATTTTAAAATCATATTTTCAATAATATATGTGTACTCTTTAATTTATATTGCATATTAAATTTATATATATTTAAATTATTTATAAGCTCTTCTTACAAATCTTTAAAATTATAAAATAAAAATTATGAATTTATTTATACATTAACTAATTTTTCAAAGTAATAAATTAAATAAAAACAATGATATTATAAAAAAAATTATAGAAAAAAACAAAAACAAAAAAAAACTGTCAATTACCGGTTAACAAATTTGCCAATGCATAATTAAAAACAAATAAAAGTTTAAGTAAGAAATAGGTTCATGAGAGGCCGAATTCAATTCTCAATATGAATAGTAAACAACACTTCAATAAATATATTTCAGAATGATATTTTGATATATTTATTTATTTATTATATAATATTTAAAAGATAAAAAAATCCTATAAATAAATGTCGAGACCTAAGAACAACTCTAATAAGAATTGCTTGTCTCATGAAATAAAGTCTCGATTTCTTGCTATTGAAGGACTGTGACATGATAACATGAATTACTTGAAGAAAAAAGAGTTATTTCCTGAAATAACCATTCCTTATCAAATTTTAGGAACTTTTTAAAATAATAATGATAAAAATTAATTTCGTATAATGTTTATGTATTTATTATTACTTTATTTTATTTTCAATATCTATTTTTTTATATTTTTTCTCGTAATTTATTTTCTTTTATTGTACTACAATTATCTTTTTTAATAATAATTTAAATTTAATTTATAAATGATAAGAAAAAAATTTTAAAAGTTAAATTTCTTAAAATATCTTATCATTTTAAGTAAATTTGTGTTTAAATTACTCTATACTGACATGACACGAATATCACTTTTTTCATTTTGCAATGCATGAAACAACTCAAATGAATTACTTTTATTATAGATATCTTAAATATTCAAACTTAAAAAAGAAATTGGAAGAAATTTGTCTTCTGGTTGTTAGGACCATACCTCTCCACCAATGACTTTAGCGTACCGATTCATTGGAAATCACATTCGAGAACCAACTATTGAGTTAGATGTAACATCCCAAGATGCATACAAACTACAAATCAACTAGTTTTATTTGTTTTTCGTTTTACTAAAAGATATACTACCTGTAGTACTCTAAAAAAGGAAAAAAAATTCATTTTATCTGTTATTACACTTTAATTTGCTTCTTATAAAAAGACCAAAATTAAGTTTTAAAAGTGCATTTACATGTCCAATTTGGCACCGACCTTAGATTCCCAGACTCGGGAAGTTTTACTATTTACTCTACACGTCGTGAAAAACAAGATCTGGTGTAGTCAAATTATCATTTAAACCATTTCATCAACTATGTACAATAGCACAACAAAAATAATTACATGCATCCGATTCACATAATAAATGTATTCAATGGGGATGCTGACAACAGAAAACAAATAAGTGAACATACAGAATTACGAAACAAATTATTGAATAGTTCAACCTTGAACCAATATCAAACAGAGAATTACCACATTTGGATAAAATTTGCATTTACTCTTTCAATTCATAAATATTTATTGGTAACTTGAGCCATATTTTGATTTCTAAAATATTAACTTGAATTGAGATACAACACAAGCAACTATATCTTTAAATTGATTCACTATAACAGATATACACAAGGAACATGACTTGTGTTATAACAAAAAATACACATTAATCTGATAATTGCTTAACAAATATTCATGTGTTAAGCTAACCAAAGGCACTAGAACAATTAATCAATACACAAACAATTCAAAATTACAACTACAACTTGCAAGTTCAAATTCAAAAAAGAAAAAACACACAAAAAGATAACAAGATCTCACAATAATAAAATATAAGACCATGTTTGTATTTCTTTAATAAATTGATTTAAGTGCATCATCAAAACACTCGTGAATTTAATTTGTGATATGCTTAATATCCACTCAACCCCACCAACTCGGCTATACTTGAGAAAAACTTTAAAAGGTGATTTAAGTGCAACAATTTTGGAATGCTGTAGGGCAAAACCCCCTCGCTTAAACTGCTAAAACTAACGCAGGAAAGCGGCCAAGGAGCCCTCATTAAATTGATTTGCGCCTACGCACCTTAAACGAGTGCGCCACATAGAATACCCTCTCTCGTGGAATACCACGCCACCCCTCACTAAAGGAGGAAGCGCTCGGCCTTAGGCGCACTAAAAAAGCAAAACCATGACTGCAAACAATCATTAAAAAAAACCAAAAACATTCAATATTTAAGGAACCCAATGACTAAACCCAACCAGTACTCGCAAGTAGCAACGAATTTATATTCCAACAGAATGAAAAGGACAAAAATCAATTAACCACAGAAAACAAAAAAAATCATAGCATGCAAGTGCATACTCAAAAAATCATAAAATGTAACCAACACATCATGTGAACATGCAAATGCAAGTGCATACTCAAAAAATCATAGCATGCATTGTAAAAGCAACCCATCAACTAAACCATATCCACTTCAGTAAAGAAAATTGCTGTGAAAACAAATATCCGATAAAACCACATCCACTTCAATAAAGAGAAACAAAAGATTGGGTGGTCCTAACATGTCTTGTGGAAGACTGATAGATATTGTCTTACAATTTAACAAAATTAAAATATGATAACTAACATTGATTTCATCTCAAAAACCTAACAAGCAAAACTCTCAAATCACCATTTAGTCTCCCTTCTTCCTAAAAGAGCACCCTTCAGTTAGCCTCGCCCGTCCACCCGTTGGTTGGCACAACACAGTCTGGCAATTACCGCAAACCACAACTGTCTGAGAGTGGCTAAACACGGTGGTTCTGCGTCCAAATCAAAACAAACACAACAAAATTCACACAACTTATTTAAATTATTTAATTACCATCATAGCAAAACTTAAAATAAACACAACAAAACAAATACCCTACTCACATGTTAAAGCAACCCTGGCACTTAACATCCTGCAACATATAATCAAAACATAAGAAAGGATCCTAATAGGGTTTTTTCAATAGCAATAGAGAATTTTCAATTCAAATAACGACAAACATAAGTCGATTTTGATACCATGAAGAACGAATTTGGGGACTGAACAAGACGTTTGAGCTTGTGCTTTCTCTTTTCCAACTCAGCTGGGGGATTCAGCAAATCAATATCGTTCTGGAGAACCTACTCACATTCAAAGCAAAAGAAAAAAATTAAAAAAAAAAAAAAAAACACCATAAGAACATAAGTCATATCTCATTCTTCAAACGTCGCCGTCTCAAAACAATTAATTATAAGAACTGTGATTTGAAACGAAACAGAACCAAAAATAAAACAAAACAAAAAACTACGACCCTTGTCTCTTGTTTTCTTGGTCTTACAAAGAGAGAAAAAGTGCACACACGAAGAAGAATGAAAATAGAAGAAGAAATATTAGAGAAACAACAACAGATCTATTGCGAAAATTATGATCCTCACCATTGTGAGAAAAAAAAAAGTGGTAAAACTCAGACAATGGCTTAACCCTAAGTTTAGGTTTTGCAGAAGCAGCAGCAGAAGGCGGCGAGAGAAGGGATGAATAAGAGAATTAGTAGGTTTATAAAGCTTATATCTGGGCGCTCCAAGTGGGCCAATAAGGTGGGCTTTTTTTTTTATAATACCCGAACATTTTAGGAGCAAATGACATGTACTTGTATTTTTGGAGGAAAAAAAATCCATATAACATATAAAAAATTACATGTTTATAAATCTACAAATTAGAATAATTTTCTTGAATAATAATTGTTTTAATAATTTTTCGAAAATGTTTGTAGTTATTTTTCTTATACGAGAATATTTTTAAAATATAATTTATTATTGTGTTGTTGTTGAATTAGATTTTAATATATTTTAAAAAAATATCAATAATTAATTTTATTACAGTATAATTTATTTATTATAAATTTAAAATATAATGTATACAATAAAAAAAATATTTGGTATAAATTTGGATAATAAAATAATTTGTTTATTTAAAATATTTATTTATTATAAATCTTAGTTATATTAAATAAAAATGTATCATGTGTATTATAGTTTTTATAGGGGTGTTTGTGGTGTGATTTTGTTTGATTTTTAACTTAAGAGTCATTCAAAACAAGAACAAAATTAAGTGCAATTTAGATTTTAATTAGATTTTGTTTAGTTTGAATGTGTTACAAAATTTGAACCAAACTACATCAATCTTTTGTGATATGATTTGTTTTGATTTTTGCAGTTTTGAAAATACGCTAAAATTGTGTAATATTAAGTTATGTGTTTAAGATTTGTAAGTAGAAAATAAAATTAAGAATATCTTAATACTAAAACTTTTCGGTCACTGAATGTATTTAATACCGATTTTTATCTTATTAATTTAGTGCAAGTATTTATTTGATACAATTTTAGTTATCATATAAAAAAGATTATTATATATATAGTTTGTCACTTAAAATAAAATAATTTTTGAATGTTATAAATAATTTATGTATTTTCATTCTAAAATTCAATTTAGCAATTTACAATTTTACATAAATACCTTTAAAATCATATATATTATATATTATAATATGCATTCGGAGGACAACTTTTAACAACTTACAATTTAGTACCTTATAATTTATAAAAACACATTTTATATATGTGTTAATGTCATATACCTACACTAGCTATTTAGGGAAA